AAATATAAAATAAATATAAATAATATATAAATAAATATAAACTAAATATAAATAAATTATAAATACAATTATAATGAAATAGTAAATAAATATAAATAATATAAATAAATAATAAATAAATATAAATAAATTATAAATAAAATAATACATAATATAAATAAATATAAATAAATATAAATACAATATAATAAATATAATATATATAAATAAATTAAATAAATATATAATAAATATAATATAAATAATAAAATAAATATAAATAATAACAAATAAAATATAAATAAATATAAATAAATATAAAGAAATATAAATAAATATAAATAAATATAATAAATATAAATAAATATAGAAATAAATATAAATAAATATAAATAACATATAATAAATATAAATAATATATAATAAATATAAATAAATTTAAATAAATATAATAAATATAAATAAATATAAAATAACTATTAAATAAATATAAATAAATATAAATAAATATAATAAATATTAAGAAAGATTATCATATTATGACGAAAGATTATAAATATTCATAATAAATATAAACTAAATATAAAATAAATATAAATAAATATAAATAAATATAAATAAATATAAATAATATAAATAAATATAAATAAATATAAATAAATATAAATAAATATAAATAAATATAAATAAATAATAAATATAAATAAATATAAATAAATATAAATAAATATAAATAAATATAAATAAATATAAATAAATATAAATAAATATAAATAAATATAAATAAATATAAATAAATATAAATAAATATAAATAAATATAAATAAATATAAATAAATATAAATAAATATAAATAAATATAAATAATATAAATAATAAATAAATATAAATAATAAATATAAATAAATATAAATAAATATAAATAAATATAAATAAATATAAATATAAATAAATATAAATAAATATAAATAAATATAAATAAATAAATAAATATAAATAAATATAAATAAATATAAATAAATATAAATAAATATAAATAAATATAAATAAATATAAATAAATATAAATAAATATAAATAAATATAAATAAATATAAATAAATATAAATAAATATAAATAAATATAAATAAATATAAATAAATATAAATAAATAAATAAATATAAATAAAATATAAATAAATATAAATAAATATAAAAAAATATAAATAAATATAAATAAATATAAATAAATATAAATAAATATAAATAAATATAAATAAATATAAATAAATATAAATAAATATAAATAAATATAAATAAATATAAATAAATATAAATAAATATAAATAATATAAATAATAAAATAAATATAAATAAATATAAATAAATATAAATAAATATAAATAAATATAAATAAATATAAATAAATATAAATAAATATAAATAAATATAAATAAATATAAATAAATATAAAATAAATATAAATAAATATAAATAAATATAAATAAATATAAATAAATATAAATAAATATAAATAAATATAAATAAATATAAATAAAATATAAATAAATATAAATAAATATAAATAAATATAAATAAATATAATAAATATAAATAAATATAAATAAATATAAATAAATATAAATAAATATAAATAAATATAAATAAATATAAATAAATATAAATAAATATAAATAAATATAAATAAATATAAATAAATATAAATAAATATAAATAAATATAAATAAATATAAATAAATATAAATAAATATAAATAAATATAAATAAATATAAATAAATATAAATAAATATAAATAAATATAAATATAAATATAAATAAATATAAATAAATATAAATAAATATAAATAAATATAAATAAATATAAATAAATAAATATAAATAAATATAAATAAATATAAATAAATATAAATAAATATAAATAAATATAAATAAATATAAATAAATATAAATAAATATAAATAAATATAAATAAATATAAATAAATATAAATAAAATATAAATAAATATAAATAAATATAAATAAATATAAATATAAATAAATATAAATAAATATAAATAAAAAATAAATATAAATAAATATAAATAAATAAATATAAATAAATATAAATAAATATAAATAAATATAAATAAATATAAATAAATATAAATAAATATAAATAAATATAAATAAATATAAATAAATATAAATAAATATAAATAAATATAAATAAATATAAATAAATATAAATAAATATAAATAAATATAAATAAAAATAAATAAATAAAATATAAATAAATATAAATAAATATAAATAAATATAAATAAATATAAATAAATATAAATAAATATAAATAAATATAATAAATATAAATAAATATAAATAAATATAAATAAATATAAATAAATATAAATAAATATAAATAAATATAAATAAATATAAATAAATATAAATAAATATAAATAAATATAAATAAATATAAATAAATATAAAATAAATATAAATAAATATAAATAAATATAATAAATATAAATATAAATAAATATAAATATAAATATAAAATAAATATAAATAAATATAAATAAATATAAATAAATATAAATAAATATAAATAAATAAATATAAATAAATATAAATAAATATAAATAAATATAAATAAATATAAATAAATATAAATAAATATAAATAAATATAAATAAATATAAATAAATATAAATAAATATAAATAAATATAAATAAATATAAATAAATATAAATAATATAAATAAATATAAATAAAATAAAAATATAAATAAATATAAATAAATATAAATAAATATAAATAAATATAAATAAATATAAATAAATATAATAAATATAAATAAATATAAATAAATATAAATAAATATAAATAAATATAAATAAATATAAATAAATATAAATAAATATAAATAAATATAAATAAATATAAATAAATATAAATAAATATAAATAAATATAAATAAATATAAATAAATATAAATAAATATAAATAAATATAAATAAATATAAATAAATATAAATAAATATAAATAAATATAAATAAATATAAATAAATATAAATAAATATAAATAAATATAAATAAATATAAATAAATAAATAAATATAAATAATATAAATAAATATAAATAAATATAAATAAATATAAATAAATATAAATAAATATAAATAAATATAAATAAATATAAATAAATATAAATAAATATAAATAAATATAAATAAATATAAATAAATATAAATAAATATAAATAAATATAAATAAATATAAATAAATATAAATAAATATAAATAAATATAAATAAATATAAATAAATATAAATAAATATAAATAAATATAAATAAATATAAATAAATATAAATAAATATAAATAAATATAAATAAATATAAATAAATATAAATAAATATAAATAAATATAAATAAATATAAATAAATATAAATAAATATAAATAAATATAAATAAATATAAATAAATATAAATAAATATAAATAAATATAAATAAATATAAATAAATATAAATAAATATAAATAAATATAAATAAATATAAATAAATATAAATAAATATAAATAAATATAAATAAATATAAATAAATATAAATAAATATAAATAAATATAAATAAAATAAAATAAATATAAATAAATATAAATAAATATAAATAAATATAAATAAATATAAATAAATATAAATAAATATAAATAAATATAAATAATATAAATATAAATAAATATAAATAAATATAAATAAATATAAATAAATATAAATAAAAATAAATAAATATAAATAAATATAAATAAATATAAATAAATATAAATAAATATAAATAAATATAAATAAATATAAATAAATATAAATAAATATAAATAAATATAAATATAAATAAATATAAATAAATATAAATAAATATAAATAAATATAAATAAATATAAATAATATAAATAAATATAAATAAATATAAATAAATATAAATAAATATAAATAAATATAAATAAATATAAATAAATATAAATAAATATAAATAAATATAAATAAATATAAATAAATATAAATAAATATAAATAAATATAAATAAATATAAATAAATATAAATAAATATAAATAAATATAAATAAATATAAATAAATATAAAATAAATATAAATAAATATAAATAAATATAAATAAATATAAATAAATATAAATAAATATAAATAAATATAAATAAATATAAATAAATATAAATAAATATAAATAAATATAAATAAATATAAATAAATATAAATAAATATAAATAAATATAAATAAATATAAATAAATATAAATAAATATAAATAAATATAATAAATATAAATAAATAAATAAATATAAATAAATATAAATAAATATAAATAAAATATAAATAAATATAAATAAATATAAATAAATATAAATAAATATAAATAAATATAAATAAATATAAATAAATATAAATAAATATAAATAAATATAAATAAATATAAATAAATATAAATAAATATAAATAAATATAAATAAATATAAATAAAT